TCCATGTCGCAGCTCAGCACTCACATCACTGCTCCATCATTATTCACAGGAACCAACCTGGACCTCCACCCAGCTCTGTGTCCTTAATGAGTGACCACTCAAAACGTGACCCCATTGAATTTAAACACCAGCACGTGTCTGCTCCAGAGAGGTGAGCAGTTATTAACATGAACTATTTGAATGTCAGCAAGGTGTCTGATTTAAATGGTGATGCTCGTTGTATTTTGTTTGATTTTTTTATTAATCTTTCATGGTTTCATAAATGCATCTCTGTAGGAGACCACTGGCTAAAAGGACATACACAAAAAAACGAGGAACTAAATATAAACATGAGCCTGACCCCAGCTGTATGTCCTTAAGGAGTAAACAGTCAAAACGTGACCCCATTGAATTTCAACAGTCGCCTGCTGGAGAGAGGTGAGCTGTTAGTAATACTCTTTCATGTCCGTACAGTGTCTGATTTAAATGATGATGCTTATTTTATTTTTTATTTTTATAAATCCTTCATGGTTTCAAAAATGTATCTCTGTAGGAGACCATTGACTCAAACAACATGCAGGAGAAAACGAGGAACTAAACGTATAAATGAACCTGGACCCAGCTGTATGTCCTTAAGGAGTAAACAGTCAAAACGTGACCCCATTGAATTTAAACATCATGGGTCTGCAGCATACAGGTGAGCTGTTAGTAACATGAAGTCTTTGAGAGGTATCCTGATACATACTTAGTCATCCATTTAAGTTAATCCCAAAAAGATGATTCTGTTCATCTGGACGTTGTGTTTTCAGTGGTAGAAACATGTCACGCATCCAAGTGACACTTTTTGGATTTACTTTCTTGGATTATTGACCATGCATCAAGACATTTTAACCCACTTTGTCAAGTACTGGCTTAAGCTAATATGACTATGAGCAAACAGCACATAAGATGGTTGATTGCCTGAACCACCTGTTATTCAGCCTCAGATGCAGACAAAACAGGATTACTCCTAGAAGTCTTTAGATGAGCTCTTCAGTTAAGGGCCTTGGATGATGAATGTTTCAAAGAAACAAATTTTATCATTAATGTTCTAAAATCTGAAGAGGAGTGGATGCCACAGAGACTTACAATGCTTCTAGATGAGAATACTCCTCAAAGGGTGTTTGAATTCAGTAAGACAATCCAACTAGCACAGCATGAAAAGTCCAAGACTAACAAAGAAAGTTTTACTTAATTGTTGTTTACCAGAAACCACAATAAATTGAGTATTGCGAGACTTCCTGATCAATGGTTCTTGGTCAAGGGTCATGACATTTTGCATATAAATGATCAAGTAACTGACCTCAGAGCCCATTGTTCTTTCTGTGGACATTTCAGTCATTGCACAAAGGTATTGTTTATAAGGCTTAGGAAACCTGCAGTCAGCTGAGACTGAAGTATGAGTGACAAAATGTTTCTCCCATTGAAAATGCTACATCCAGGTGAACAAAATCAACTTTTTGGGATCTTTGAGGGGTAAATAACTACCTGATGTAGTTGAAAAGAAGACTGTAACTGGGTGTAAATTTACACAAATGTGAGCGTTCTAAAAAAAAAGTAACACATTTAACTCTGTCTCTTAAGCTGGATGTAAACAAAAAATAAATGTTCAAAGTTTTAGAACATGTTTGGTGCCATCTTTGAACATTTGAGCCTGCTGCCAATAGACTTACATTACATCATTGCCTGACTAGTTACAGAATCAACAACAATAAAACTAAATATCAAGTTCAATGCTGAGTTGCTGAAACGATGAATTTATGTTCATAACAATGATATACTCTCCACTTTCACTTGTTTTTCACTGAGATATCAGTTTTGTCAGTTGTTAGCTAACATTATGTTTTGTAAATCTATTGGCAGCAACCTACATGGTGACATCTTCTGTAACAGCAAAAGATGGCACTAAATAGTTCTAAATCTAGTGTTTCAAACAGTATTTAAATCTAGGACAGTATTTAGAGCAGGGCTCTGACAAAAAATAGTAGAGACGAAAAGCCCTGAGGAACTAAACATGAAAGAAATTAACTCCACAGAAAAATAAGCTTAATCATGGGCAAAACAAACTCAACAGGCACACAGGAATCACACAGGAGCTTATATTCAAAATATCAGCTGGATACACTACAAGCTCTAATTTGCTTTGCTCTTGGAATATAAGCCAGCAGATTGGCTACTTTTTTTCCTGGACTGGATGAACAGCTAAATATTGTTCAAGAGTTAAATTATATTGATGAGATGAATGGGCGACCGTGGCTCAGGGGGTTGGGAAGCGTATCTGTAACCGGAAGGTCGCCGGTTCGATCACCGGGCTCTCTGTCCTGGTCGTTGTGTCCTTGGGCAAGACACTCTGCCCTACAGCCTACTGGTGTTGGCTAGAGGGGCCGATGGCGCGATATAGCAGCCTCACTTCTGTCAGACTGCCCCAGGGCAGCTGTGGCTACAACCATAGCTTGCCTACACTAGTGTGTGAATGTGAGAGTGAATGAATAGTGGCATTGTAAAGCGCTTTGGGTGCCTTGAAAAGCGCTATATAAATCTAATCCATTATTATCACTAGAAGCATCTGTGTCTTTTCCTTTCCTTGTCTCTCTGGAGACAGATTTCATGGGGTCTAACTCTTCATGATTCCTCCACAGAGTGGATCAGGAGAGCTCAGAGGTTCCGAGGGGTCAGTCTGCCCAGCAGCATCAAATACAGCTGGGCTCCATATTTATGGTCTGTACATGTACAAAACTTTTGTCTGTGAAAGTTTTCAGTTATCCAGGTCATCGTAGTCAAAGGAGCTTGCAAAGAAAAGCATCTGGACTTCTTTAAGTTGCTTGAAGACGTTTCACCTCTCATCCGAGAAGCTTCTTCAGTTCTAAGGTCAAATGGTGGGGAGTCCCAGATATA